AATGAAGAGGAGAACGAGAATTCATGGTGATGAATTATTATACGCATAAAAAGTGTAAAAGGTCTGCATCATGATAGTCTGCGTTTCACTTTTATTGATCTATCCATTTCAGTATGGTCCTATCTATCTATGTCTCTAGTCCTATATATCTAAGTCTAGTGCTGTCTATCTATTTAAAATTTTAAATCTACTCCTATCTTTTTATCTATGTCTAGTCCTATCTATCTATCTATCTATCTATCTATCTATCTATCTATCTATCTATCTATCTATCTATCTATCTATCTATCTATCTATAGTCCTGTCTATCTCTGTATGTCTAGTCCTATCTATCTATCTATCTATCTATCTATCTATCTATCTATCTATCTATAGTCCTATTTATCTCTGTATGTCTAGTCCTATCTATCTATCCAACTATCTGTCAATCTATAAATCTATGTTTAGTCCTGTCTATCTCTGTATGTCTAATCCTATCTATCTATCTATCTATCTATCTATCTATCTATCTATCTATCTATCTATCTATCTATCTATCTATCTATGCATTTTCGAATGATTAGTGCTGCACCATCTCACATTTAATACTTTCATATACCGATAAAATCTTTAGTACCTGAAATATGGAAATCTGTGTCTCCATTCGTCTCTAAGTAAACCAGTAGAATAGGGAAGTATATAAAACCACAATATAACAAGACATTTTGTAAGGAGTTCTGCAAGAATAGAAAGATTCTACACTAAAACAATATATTTTAACTGTTGTGAATTTAAAGTATCTGAATCCCTACAAAAATTATTGATTCGTAACACAAAAATTATATATTTTTTTCAAATCAGTCTCGTTATTTTCGCTTGATTATACACAGAAATTTAAATTAAGATAATTTAAATCACGGAGCAAACACTGGAATCGGTAGGCCGAGTTAAGCTCCACTTTCACACAAATGCCCTTGGGAAATGCATAAATACCTCTCTCCCCCTGAAGCTATGGGTTAAATAGCAAACAGGACTAAGCTCTCGAACTTTGACACCATCTGCTGCGACAAACCTGGGCTTGACAGGCAGGTTCATGATGACAGCTTACATCGGGCTGTCGACTTGTTCCCATACGTAGAACGTCGCTTTGACCGCTTATCAGCCGTGCGTCAGGCCGTGCTTAGTTTGGTCCCTTTCCTGAATCCTCACTGCCATGGGTGGTCCTACCAGGAGACAGAGCTCCAGGTGGCATTGCGTTCAGGTTCCTCGAGACACGCAAGCTCCTCAACCACGACACGGTGACGATCCACGGAGGAGGTTACATGTAATAAAAACAAATAATCTGTGAAGTGCCATAATCGCCTACATCTTGAAAGGACATATTAAAAATAATGTTTGTTTTATGCCAAATAGAACAGTGAAACTCCACGCATTTCCTGGCAGACTTTAAATTCTTTAAACTCTAGGCTGCGAATTCGTGTAATCTAAAAGAATAGCTTGTTGAGAATGCCCAAACATTCCAATAGGGAAATTCTCTAAACTCCAAGCTGCAGTTTTACCGCTTTGATATCAAAAATGACTATTTCACACTAGTTTCATTTAACAGGGTTGAAATCCAGGATTCAGTATTTCCAAGTTCATACATCTCTCATTAAGCTAGTTTCAGTAAATTAGCTAAACAAAGACACTGAAAAAGATGCCTTCCAAAAGCTAAACAAGGTATTAAGAAACTGGAAAATTTCATTAGAAACAAAGAAAAGTGTGTTGAACTGCTACACAGTATCGATCCTTCTACATGACAGAAAATGAAGAACAATTTCTTCACATAAAGAGGAGGCTTGACGAAACAGAAATATGGCTATACATCAGGATTCTGAGGATTCCATGGACAGAGCATGTGAACAACAAGGAAGTTTTAAGGAAAATGGGAACAAAAAAGACATGTATACTTGGAATCAGAAAGTAACAGCTGAAATTTCTTAAATATAAAACGATGAACGAGGGCTTGGAGAATCTGACATTCGCAGGACATATTGAAGGTAAGAGGTACAGTGGGGGTGGGGACTGCGCATAAGCTACCTAACGAGCTTGTGGAAATGGGTAGCAGAGTAGGAATAGATAGTAAAAAGACAACCATTACTGAGAGTTACAAAGATAGGAAGCTGTGGAGAGCTTTGATCGCCCATGTTCTGAAAGGACACGGCACAGCGAAAAAGAAGAATAGCTTTATTGGTTTATTAAAAATGAGATTAAATTTTAGTGAGACACCTAGGAAGGATCGAACTCGATACATTAAAAGGCAATCCGCGAGACTAATTTGCGGAACATCGCTCTACTACAGACGCCCTCACTGGCCGGTACAGTATTCCTTAATCAGCCTTTTTCATTAATCATTGTCTATGGATGTCTTTGATTTTTCCTTTGTTCTTATAAACGTGATACACACCTTTTACGAAGGGACTATTTTCGTAGATACCGAATAGAAATGATGTGTTCCTGTTTCTGCTTGGAAGAGACAGTCATTTGCAGCATGACGCGCCTGACTTTTGTTTAAAGACAGCCTTTTGTGACATCCACTAGTTTTTCTTTTTGAGGTCAGAGAGAAGACATGTAGAGAAGGTATTTTTATACTTCATTAGCATATATATATATATATATATATATATATATATATATATATATATATATATATATAATGAAGTATAAAATGTATATATATATATATATATATATATTTTTAGAAACTAAAATCTTCATTTACGGTCTTCCGATTGTAAATATTTAGATAATTATCTATTCCGACGTCCAGATACTACCAAAGCCGCCCATCATCTATCTGGTAACACAAGACTTTCATAACTTTAAGGGCGCCCTGTAAAACATTTCCTTCTGTGTGTTGGTTTGTAGAACCTAGAACGAGGCTCTAAAATGCTTATTTTCTTACAAAATGCTATGAAACGAAATAAGCACACAAAACAGAAAAGTGGAGTAAGACAAGGATGCGTCTACTCACCGGACTTATTTAACTTATACAGCGAGGGTTCGTTAACAGAATTAGATGTCCTACCAGAATGTATTATTAGATGGCACAAGCTTAACAACATAAGATATGCAGATGACACCGTGCTGATAGGAGAGATAGAAAGAAAACTACAAGAAGTCCTAGACAATATAGTAAAGGGAAGCAGGAAGAAAGGAGTAACCATCAATTGTAAGAAGATAGAATGTATAGTAGTCAGCAAAAGGAAAAGCTCAAGATACGAGCAACGAATTGGAGATGTCAAAATCAAGCAAGTACAAAAATGTAAATATCTGAGACGTGTTTTAACAGAAGACAAGAAAAGTGAAACCGAAATCCGAAGTAGCATTGGAACTGCAAAAGATGCCTTCCAAAAGCTAAACAAGGTATTAAGCGACAGGAAAATTTAATGAGAAACAAAGAGAAGAGTGCTGAACTGCTTAATCCGCCTACATGACAGAGAATGGTGAACAATTTCCTCACATGAAGATGAGACTTTAGGTAACAGAGACGTGGCTCTACGTAAGAATTCTGAGAATACCATGAACAGAACATGTGAGCAATGAGGAAGTTTTAAGAAAAATGGGAACAAAAAGTATACTTGTACTTGGAATAAGAAATTGACAGTTGAAATTTCTTGAACATAAAATTATGAAAGAAGAGAATCTGACACTGACAAGACAAAATAAAAAGAAAGAGGTGCAGAGAGGGAAACTGTGTATAACTTACCTAACGAGCTTGTGTAAATGGGTAGCAGAGTAGGGAAGGATAGTAAAAAGACAAAAATTACTAAGACCTCCAAAAATAGGAAGCTGTAGAGAGCCACGATCGCCTACGTCCTGAAAGAACACGACAAAGAAGAAGAAGAGTTTCATTGGTTTGTTAAAAATGAGATTAAATTTTATTTCCAACCAGAGATTTTAAAATCTTGTAAATGTCTCTGTTCCATTCCTGTGGAAAGTTTCTACTTGTAGTGATTAATACTGGCTCGTTGTTCATATAATTCTGCATCATGTTAAGGAGTGTTTATTCTCTGCGGAAAATTGTTAAACTAAACTAAGTAACTCCAAATATTTTCTAAAATTTACCATACCATGATGAAAAAAGGCCCCAAACTTAAAAAAAACAAACACATTATCAAAAACAAAGAGCGATAACTATTGTAAATTTAAAGTCGAAATTTCTAAAATTCAATAAAACATTAGATAACGGAGAATATTTTCCCAAATTTTTAAGATTACTAAGTACTTAAAAATGATATAAAAAAAGGGCGCCACGTCATTTACTTCAGTAGAACAACATTAGATCTATCATCACGTTGTCAAACGTCAACACAGCTACTGTCGGGTGAAAAACACAGCTACTGCCGGGTTAAAAAAGGCACTTACGCGATATTTTAAAGTTAAAATATATATTTGTTTCAAATTAGATTAATTATACTTACATCAGCTAATATTCTTCAAATAAATTTTCAGAAAAGTATATTTTATTTTTGGAAGATTTTTTAATAAAGAGAATTACATTGCGATGAAAAATGATTTAAAAAAGAGCGCTAATCAGCTTTTTTTTAAAAAAAAAGAAATTATTTTCAGTTTTGGTTCGTCGTACTAACACTTAATGTGAGGTCTGACTATTAATAACAGAAAGTATATTCAGTCCCATAAACTATCCCGTGATGCTTTGCGCGTTTTACATATCTGTGATTAATCAAGATGTTGACTTTTTTTCACACTATCAAAAAAGAGGTTAGGAAGGAAACTATGAAAATACCTCCCATATAATGATAAGACATTAGTGGCAATAGTATCATCATCTAGCTAATGCCATACCATTATGTGGGAAGTATTTTTCTGTTGCACCCTGAACTAGAAAGAGCTATAACACTGGAGGTTTTATCTTCATGAAAAAAAAAAAAAAAAATTTTAAGAATAAAATTTCATAAATTTCAACCGACAATAATACTAACTCTTCGGTCAATGAATGCAGAAAGGAAACGTATCACGTTGAAACACCGGTTCCCGTACGATCTCCGAAGTTAAGCAACGTCGAGCCTGGTCAGTACCTAGATGGGTTGTAAGTTTGGATGCGCAGAAGGTGTAACGGACAGCGGATCGGAATTGGATTTCATTTCCATTCGGGTTTGTTATATTCACTTGTTTCCATTGGGAACGTATGAATTCACATCTTCTCCTCCCATCTATGGGTTAATTAGTAAGACTAGTATAAATAAATCCTTACCTCCAAAAACATCTTACAATCTAAAACTATTATCTGCCGATGAATAACTTGCAAAGGGTTGATAAGCCATAAAACACCAAATTAAATCAAAAAAACTTCTTACAGTCTAAAACTATTACCTGCCGATGAATAACCGGCAAAAGGTTGATAAGCCATAAAAAACAAACAAATTAAATCAAATATATGGAAACAGCCAATCTCACAATTACCAATCTGCTGCCATTCTGTCTGCCTCCACCCACTATGCACTATTTTGAAATCAATATAAATGCTTTTACGACTATACCCTTGGGGACTGACACACAAGTCGAAGAAAACTATACATACACCCACTCATTTTTCGCGTTTATTATTCATTTGGTGGCGGGGAATGTGTCATTGTGATTTTACTCACGACAAGAGTAAGATTGCGATGTTGCATTATCTGAACGGGAATACACTTAAAAACAATCATTTCACCCCAAGCAAGTCAATAAATCCACTAAGATGTAAGGGGTTACTGAGTGCGAGAGAATACGAGAAAAAAGAAAACATTATTAAGGAGAGAGAACAATGAAAGAACGGAAATTTTAAAAAGACAGAAAATAACGAGTGACATTGCATTTAAATTTTTGAAGATTAGTGTTGATTGGGAAGCAAGAAGCCGGAAGAGAGTTCCACAAGCGAGAAGTGTAAGAAAAGAAACTGTTAGCATAGAACTTTATTGTACATTGCGATCGACACGAAACAGATAGCAACAAATACTGTTTATTCATTTTACTTTACAAAAAATATTTAAAATAAAACTGCTCTTTTCAATTTTTTCCAAAATACATCAGGCTTCCTTTCTTGTTGGCCTAAAAATGATGAGTAAAGTTTTAATCCTCATGGCCATCGAACAGAATGTGATACAAGGTCTACTGACAAAAATTGCTCTAGCGTCCATGGCATTCCCTCCTTTTTGTGCAAGGTAATTGCCCTAGCCGCCCCCTCCCCCAAAGGGAGAGGTATTGCCTGGGAAGATGGTCCCGTAAATCTTCACCCTGCGACCCTTCGTGGGTTATTTAAAGCCGAAATATATTTTGGATTGTAATTCTTGTTGTTTTCAAGCGAATATTGCATCAAAAATTTCTTTTTTTTAGAATAAGTATAATTTTTCCAGGCACAATTCTTAATATTTAACCCATAACTGGGAAGGAGATAGGTTCATACTTTCCTCAAGTCTATTTGCGTGTAAGCAAATGTAATGCACTAGAGTGAAATTCGAACTCGGTTCTACGGTTTCTCCGAACAGCTATCCACCCGCACATCCAAGTTTTTCATCATATTTATTCATTTAGGATGTTTCTACAGAAACAAACCTATGCAAGAAATATATATATATATATATATATATATATATATATATATATATATATATATATATATTATTTATTTAAAAATATGATTCCATCGCTACATAAGAGTTCTCATGTTTCAAAACAAGAACCGAAAACTTCAATATAATTATTTGAATTAAATTGAATTAAAGTACCAAAAAAAAATATTTCGCTTGAAGATGGAACAGAGCTTGATACTTTAATTCAAATAATTATATTGAAGTTTTCGGTTCTTGTTTTGAAACATGAGAACTCTTATGTAGCGATGGAATCATATTTTTAAATAAATAATTATATTTATGCTCTACTTTTGTATCGAGCACTATTTTCTTTTAAATAATAACAAAAATACTAAAGAACTTTGGATTATTTACCTAACGAGTTCTTTCCTATTTTCTATGTATTTTTAGACACACACACACACATATATATATATATATATATATATATATATATATATGGATGCATGGCCGAGTGGTTACAACGTTCGCTTTCTGACCATGAGTCAAATCTCACCACGGTTGATTTGTCAGGAAGAAGACTTCTTGATGTTATCAGTCTGGAGAGAGACGATTACAGCGTGTGACACCTTTGGAAAGTAACTGAAAGCCATACCACGGGTTGACCCAAGCCTTGTGAGTGAAATTGGATAAACGGAATACTTGGGGGACCATCGATAGCTATGTTAGCCCGAAGTCACAAGTCATCGTGATCGAGGGTTTGAGTGTGCTGGTCTTGTTCAGATTGTTGATCACGCTAGATAATACGCTCTCTCCCAGAAACTGTAACTAAGGTCTGCTCAGCATAGTTGCAGTGGGCTCTGTGGGTGTTGAAAAAAAAAACGAGCGAGCGTCCGAATTAGGGACTGGCTAGCTGGCCTAGTAGACAGGTATCCTCGAATAAGAATGGCCAGCTATTATATATAATGTCATCCACAGACAGACTGTTTCGCAGCTCATCAGTGTGGCTAGACATCTAGCTAGTACCGAAACCCGACTGAATTGGTGTCAGTCGGAGATTCTAACCATTAAGCCGTCGGCGCACGGTAGGGACGAAAGTGGATTTTTAGCGTATTTATTTTTAGAAACACGCCCAGTGACCGACAGTGACTCAATTCGCATCTGCGAAGAGTCTCGCTATATAGCTATAATAGCCACTGTTTACCAACCCACACCTGGTCCCCAGAGAGCTCAACTGAAATTGATATTTCAGGAGCCAATATATATATATATATATATATACGAGGAATATATATATATATATATATATATATATATATATATATATATATATATATATATATATATATATATATATATATATATATATGGCGGTCCAGTGGCCCCGTATCACGGAAAGGGGTGAACGAGGTCACAAGAGGCCCGTTAACATTTTTGATGACGTTAAATCTGACCGTGAAACAATATGGACGACAGAACGAGGATATATATGATATATAGAGGTTTATTCTAAAAGGAAAAGGAAATGAAGATGGTCGGAAACGGTGGAGGTGCTGGATGCTGCAGGAGTGAGCCGGATGCTGCAGGAGTGCTGGATGCTGCAGGAGTGAGCCGGATGCTGCAGGAGTGCTGGATGCTGCAGAAGTTTTAGTGCAGGCATTGATGGTCGAGGTTGGCAGTTGCTAGGATCATCGTTGTTGGGGGGTTGACGCTGATGTGAGTTGTTGCCAGGATGATCGCTTGGTGGTTGTTGATGTTGAGTGATGCCAGGATGATCTTTGTTGGTTGTTGAAGCTGAGTCGTTGCCGGGGTGCCAACTTGTTTCTGTAGTTCGTGTTGCCAACGTTGTTTGTCATTGCCGGGATGCCAACTTGACGTGTTGGGAAGGAAGAGAGAAAGAAAGTTCCTAACTATCGTCAAGTTGGCAGACAAAAGAAATGGGAGCGTAACTTAATACACAGCCCGTAGATCGGCGCCCTTTGGCCTATGATGGCCAAGGGGCCTGCGTAGAACGACCGTTGCGGCCGCCGACAGCCTCCCAAAGCTTGGGAGAAATCACTGTCTTGTGTCGAGGGGGACCAGCAAGAGAAATTGGCTAAGCTAACCGAAAAGTCTCTATAAAAAAATACTACAAGGAGCATGAATGAGAGGTCAAGGTCGAAAAGACCTGTTCCTCTGCTGGTTCAAGGACAGAAGGAGGAGGTAACTCCGACATATATATATATATTCCTCGTGCCGTCTTATCTTCGCTTCAAGGACGTCTGCAAAAGAGACATGGGGGCAATAAATAAAATAGATAAAGCTTACCTTAAAAAAATTACAAATAATTTCAAGTTAAAAAAAGTTAATATTGAAACTATTTAAAGCATATTCTTACGTACCTTTTTCTCTGTCTTCTGTTAAAAACGACCGCGAAATACAAAGAATTCTTACTTACCTTTTCCCTTTATCTCCTTTACATTTCTTTTTCGTGGGAGGATCCATTTACAATTAATTTACATACGGAACTGAACGCCCCCTTAAAAAATTAAATTTTAAAATATTTATTATGCATTCATTTATTTGATATTCATGATCTGGAGAATTTAATGGATAGTAAAGAAATTACAGCCGTATCACGTTGAAACACCCGTTCTCGTTCGATCACCGAAGTTAAGCAATGTTGAACCTGGGCGTACCGAGATGAGTGACCAGGTGCTGTAAGTTTTCTGGGGAAAGGTATGGATCTATCTCCTCTCTCGACTAGGAGTTAAATAACAGGAGAAACTTGGTTCTATAGCTTTGGTTGGCAACCAGTTTATCACAGAAAGTAACGGCAGCCTACTGCGGGAATTCTTCTACGAAGTTAGTCATGAATCGAAAAAAGACATGAGCGCCCAAATATGCATCACGCATGACACCTAAGGAAGAAAGGGATATGAAAAAGAAATTGAAAAAAAAGTTATTTATTAGAGAGGTGCATTTCTTTAAAAAGGATAAATTTTCTTTAAACAATACCATTACTAACAAGCAAGCAAAGCAGTGTCAGAAATGCAGTAACATTACACATATTTTTATTATTACGTAGTTAGGAACATTTAAACTTATAAACAAACAAAATTTAGACTTACAAACAAAATTTGGAATTACAAACAAACCTCAGAAACCTATCCCGCTTTTAAACTCCTGAAATTAAGATTTTTGGCGTTTATTTATTTATTTATTTTATTCTGCTAGGGTTGTGAATGCATTCTTCTAAATATAAGGGTTTCATAATTTGAGTGCATCCATTATTAGATTTTGTATTGTTATGCCTCATTTCACTAGGTGTTCAGTCTGGTTCCAGAGATAATAACATATAAATTACCTCCCTTTGGCACGGTGGAGTAATGCAGCTCAGATTGAGGAATCGGAGAGCCGAGTTCGAATTCCAATCGAATCCATTACATTCACTTACGTGCTAATACCCTTGGGAAAGGTATGAACCCTATTCTTCTCCTTCCAGCTATGGGTAAATAGCAGGACAGACCGGGCTCTATAGCCTTAGATGGCAACTGGTCTACCGCAGAAAAAAATGGCAACCTACTGCGGGAAAAAAAATCTGCCTCGCCAGTCATGTATCGAAAGATTTATGATCGCCTAAGCGTGTATCACGCATGGCACATAACTGATTGATTGCTATTGGAAACTATAACGTCACCACTAGCTACTATTTAAAACAGACCGTATCAAATTCTCTCTCTCTCTCTCTCTCTCTCTCTCTCTCTCTCTCTCTCTCTCTCTCTCTCTCGATATATTGAGTAAAATCTCAGCGATCCTACTAAGAGGTTTTGGTCCCATCGTAAGTCAATCGTTTGTAGTCTTTGTTCTATACCTTGTGTTTGTATTATTCAACAGGAAGATGATCTCTACATTACTTAACAAAAAAAAACGTGAAATGGGACTCACAATGACTACATATTTAAGAACTTTATTCATTGCATATAATCTAGATTATAACTGAGTAACACTTATATTAGTTTCTTAATATTTCCAATAAGAAAAATATTTCGCTATATTTCAAAACTAATTTAAATTGACGAGAAAGAATTTTCGTTTTGAAATTGCTAAACGTCGCTGTTTTTAGAGTTATTTTTAGCCATCTTTCATTACCATGTAATTCTCTTTATTCAACAATCTTTCAAAAATAAAATATATATTTTTGAAATTTTATTTGAAAAATATCAGTTGATTTAAAGTTTAATTAATCCGATTTGAAACAAATATTATGTACTTTAAGCTTAAAATATCACGCCGGTAGCTGTTTATTTAAGATGCTGACAGGTTGACAGCTTGACTGACAGACTGAAGTTTATCTATTTTTTTTCTCTGGTGGACATATCTGTAAAATTTATTTGAGAAATATAACGTGAGCGCCTTTTTTATATAATTTTTAACTACCCAGTAATCTTATAAACTTAGGAAAATAGTCTACATAATCTAATGATTTATTGAATGTTTGGCACTTTGCTTTTAAATTGGCTATAGTTATCGCTCTTATTTTCTGATAATGTTATATATGGCCGCCTGTACTTACAAAATCGGCACGTTTATACACACAAAAAAATTCAAAATTCTTTTTAAAATATTGGTGGTCGCTGAATTGTACTAAGCTTTTCCATTTATGATTAACAAATATAGCCTTTATTTAATAACAATATCACATAATCTCTGCAAAGTAAGACAGCATTTAAAGCTTTAGAAATTATCATATTAATTTTTAAAAAAATGAAAACAATTCTTATAAAAATACATTATTCACCGAAAAAAATTTTTTTTAAGAGAATGATGTTCATAATATATTTTATTCATACAAGTGATTAAAATCTTTTTTAATTAAATAATGTCTTAGTTTTATTGCTTTTTTATTTTACGATTCAAAGCAGATTTTCAGTAACTGGGGGTCCTGTTTTACAAAAAGAAATTAACGATTTAAATTCTCCAAGGTGTTCTACTTTAACTAATATAAACATTAAACTCTGCAAAATTTAATTTCTCGAAATTTCACAAAATCAAATAAGTGGTGGGTAACAGATGTAAAAAAATATATTACGAAGATTTTCTACAAAAGAAACAATTTTGAAATAATTTAATTAACTTGTGTATAAGTCCTGAAGATTCCATTAAAATCCAACAATTATTTGATTTTTGCAAAAATTCCCAAATTAATGTGTTTTTCATCGCAAAAAAGACGCTAAAAGTTCCTATACTAATCTTTGCCCCCTACGCTGAAGTAAAAAAAAAAACCCAAAAAACAAGATTTTTAACCAAAATTTCGAGCGTTCTAAAAAGAATCAAAAATGTAATTTAATAATCAAAAATCCTTTGGTCTTTCTTCATAATAACATAAAGATTTTGACAATAAAACTTTGTTTTTGTTAAATTTGGGACATTTTTTTCATCATGGTATGATAAGTTTTTAGCGAATCGGTGAAGGTACCTATTTAGTTTTACTTCAAAATAAAGCATATACATTTACTATTTCGTAAACTTATTTATTAGTATTTTTTTCATCGAATGGTTATGGGTGTTCACCCCACCAAAACTTAAGAGTAAAAGTAGTCCATGGGTAAAAGAAAGGTTAAGAACTTCTGTGCTAACCAAATATATATATATGAAGGAAGGTATCTATGTGTGAGTTAACCCAATATATATATATATATATATATATATATATATATATATATATATAATTTTATTCCATAATGTTCTATTGACAAACTTATATAAACTACTATCCAAAAACACATGGACTGAAGATTATGTTCAAGCATGAAATAGACTATCACCACTGGGTGGTGTCTTCAGTGTCCACTCTTATATAAACGTACGCTATTTCTTGAATATTTAGCGCTTTTCCTCATAAATATAGCATACTTTAAAACCATATTTCATCACACATACATACATATAGACAGACAAACATGCACACACACGCACACACATATAGGCCGTTCGTATACGTGAAACTCGAGTTACGACTAGAGCCATCCTTTCATAGGATTTAATGTTGGTAAGCGTTTTTTGTTTTTGTTTTTTGCTCGGTCTACGTATTCTGGGTTTCGAGGGCTTTACTGAGTCGGTAAGTTTGCTTTTAGACATTTTTACTCTTTCTTTTTCAGTATTGTCGTCTTTATTCGAGACTGGATCTAGGTAAGAGTTTTAGGCTTTAACAAATTGTCCGTTGGTTCCAACAACGGTTTTTGTTTTTCTTTAATATATATATATATATATATATATATATATTAAAGAAAAACAAATGGGGAAGACAAGTTGAACATTTAATTTATATATGTATATATATATATATATATTATAAATTAAATGTTCCACTTGTCTTCCCATTCAGTTTCATAGATATGGTAGCCAATCGCCAGGTGGCTTGAGAGTAAAATTAAAAATTCCAGAAATCATATTTCTTAAAAGATGTAGAGGACCGTGTGGGTTTGCGTGTTGTGGAATTAGGGACACGTGCTATTTATTCCTGCTTGAAGGTCCAACTACAAGAACAATGGCGGACTCAAGTTGAGTCCAACCGAAGAGGTAAAGAAAACAAACAAGACCGATATATATATATATATATATATATATATATATATATATATATATATATATATATATATATATATATATCAGCAAATATATGTATTAAACAACAAATTTACAAGTGACAAAGGCATCAACATTTGTGTTTGTGTGTGGACGTAGAGAGTTTGTATTTTCGTGAATGTTCGTACATACGTGTATGTGTGTTTCATGGCATTTTTCCACAAGTGGGCGAAAACGCAGATTTTTGTGAGAGATCACATTTTTAAATGTGTCCGCCGAAATGCAAAGTAAAAATAGAACGAGGCAAGAAGTTGCCCAGTATTTATAGTGTAGGGAGAGTGTCCCCTGGTTTCCCTTTAGGGAATTAGGGAGGAGCTAACACCGACAATGTAACTTATCTTTCTCTAAAAAAATGATGATATTTGTTAATTATTTGTTAATTTTATGTACGGTGGAAGCTTTTGCATGCTATATCTACATATAAGTATTTGCATTGGCATATGTATATATCGTTGCACATTTTATGTATGTGTTTTCTGCATTCAATATGTATGGCCCACTAATAAAAATTACGCAACTTTCATCTAAATTCTCTAATTATTTAAACCAATAGGTACTAAACAGTTTAGTTATTTCCTCGTTTTATTCAGCAAATAAAATATGCAAATTCTTCTTTCGTTGAGCAAAATAAGCTATCCTTAACCGATGTGCTCTTATTAATAAAACAAATCTCTCGAGTTTAATCTACTGTGCTGAGTAGACTTGCTGACTTTTCAGTATAAATACCCGGGAGTAAACAGTTGTCAATAAAACACCATTTCTGACAGTAAGGAAACATGAGCCGTCTCCTGATGACGAATTTAATTTCCAGAGTGAAAACGACAATGTTTCTCCGTTATCAGTAGTAAGCGGGGGAATCAGGGAGATGCTTCTTCGTCCCTGGGCAAAATAAAAACGAACACAACTTGATGGTAAATCTCTTATCTCCGTTTAGTTATTACGGACTCATGAACATACAAAAAGAACTTGAAAAGAGTGTGGTCAATTTTATCAGCTATATCAGTTCATCGGATGTCACATAGCAGACGTTCGATATTACGTCCTTGAGGTCGCAAATTATGGCAAACAC